GTTAAGAAGGTGTGCAATTTTCGTAGAATGGTTAGCGAAAGTTTGAGGAAGCGTGTTGTTTGGTCGAGTTCGTTTTGGTTTGATCCTGTTTCTTTATGAGACTTATTCATGCGACAGTTGTGTTCTGTATACCAATCGATATTTTCTTGTATTAGTTGTTTCTTCTTCTTCTTTCTTTTTATATATATATATATAGAATTTTATAAGACGTGTATATAGAAATATTTTTTTTTCTTCGACACGGGATACCACGTGCCCTTTTTGCGGTACTTCGAACATTCCTCGATTGTGAACATGTCGCCTTCGTTTTCGGGAAAGTATTAGCGTAAATTATGATACAGTTGATTTCCAGGCTTGGTGTAGCAGCGAATCGAAGACATATCGAGAAGTGCAATAAACGTAGCCTAGACGAGACCATTCCTTTTTATTCCCCCGAGGATTCGAGTGTGGGAATAAGCGAATTCTCGCGAGACTGCTCGAGAAGCTCAGTTCAGTAAAAACTGTGATCGTAGTGAGAGAAAATAAGAAGAATGAAAAAAAAGTATAAAATAGTAGTGGATCATAGTTAGAATTCGATTAGCCGCCTGCGTGGCAATTTTCCTCGTAGCCAAAGAATAGTAGATATCGTAACAAACGGAACAAACTTGAATCGCAAAAGACTGGTAGTGATTTCGTAGTTGACTAGCACGACTAGGGGGACAATAAACGGAAGTGTTCAAATTTAGAGAGATTTAATTAGTTTCAATGAGCAGCGCTCGGTAGTTGATACATTCAAACGTAAGTACCTCTTGAACGAAAGCCCCTCCTCCTTCTCGAAACAAATTTCAGAGAAATTTTGTCGGTTTTTCAGAATTATATCGGATAATCAGATGAATATTCTAAAGAGTAGTGAAAAAAGACAATCAAGTCAAAATGACCAACGAATCACGGATATATAATGTTAGTTGAAAAACGACTAGATTAGACGATTTAGCAGAATTTTCATTTTGGAGAAGGAGGAAAGGACTCGAGTAATCGGGTGACGATATCGGGCAGATATTTAGGTACTTTTCGACGAGATAAATGAACAAACGAAAGAGATACAAATTCCTGCCTCGAAACGGGTCGCGTTCGCGTGACAACACGTCAATTGATTCGTAGATCGTAGATTATTTATCGTAGGGAACTCGATCGAAGCTTTAAAGTAGTAGTGCTCGCTGTATTCGCGTGATTGAACATGACGATTCAGTTTCGAAAGACGATCGTGATGGGATCGGCGATGGTATTGGCGAGGAAAGAAAGGGGGAGCATATGAAACATGAAATCTATGGGACTCGATCGAGGTCGAGGTTCTGCGACATTCTATTTTCCGTGAAAGTGAAGGTTGTTCGCTCGATTTCGTGAGCGAGGGCGCCCGTCGTCGAGATCGTAGATTGTTAGAATTTCGTCGAAGCGGAAAGAGAGAAATAAAAAAAAAAAAAAAAGGAAAAGAAAAGAAACGAGATGTAAGGAAGGAATAGGAGGAAGGGAAAAAAGAAAAAAAAAATAAAATAAAAGAGAGAATACATTCCCAGGTAGCGGCACGCCGTGTATTATTCCCAGAAGGAGGTGAATTTCTGATTTGCGCGGGATGATATGTCGAGTGGTATAAATAAAGCCGTGAATCGTGAATGGTGAAGGCGGATAGCGCGTCGAGAGCGCGCGGCAAATGGTCGACGATAAGCATTTCTCATTCGTCGCGCCTTTCAGAGTATTTTTCGCAATGAATTTCATGAAATTTCATAATGCCGAGAAAATGAAGTATGTACTCCAATACGGCGTACGAGAAAAGAAAAGAAAAAAGGAAAAAAAAAAAAAATTCGGAAAAAGAAAAAGTAAAAATAAGAAAAAAGGACGCGAGTTCAGAGCTATCTATATGTATATAAATGCACACGTGAATCTATATACATATACATAGATACTTGTATGCATATAACGTGTATAATTATATGATACGTACCTTATTTAAAAAAAGAAAAAAAAAATATTACGAAAAGGAAAATCAAATGACAAAAAAAAAAAATTATTACAAAAATATTAATCCATTCTAGATATATAATAACAGATTATATACATATATTATATATTGTTTTGTATCTACATTTTGGTAAAACGCCATATAGTATTTGATATTGATATCGATATATTTTGTGAGAGCCGCATTACAACCTTCTAGTTTTTGTAATAGACCTACAGATTATATACATATCTGAGCATATCTATCTATATATATATATCTATTTATACATAAATATCTAGGTAATTAGGTAAACATTTGTGTTGTTAAAATACCTTAGTTATTTAATGAGACTCTTTTAGGTGAAACTTTTAGGTTTGAATTAGCTAGAGCGAATATAATTTTTGACAAATTACTATACTATGTATACGTTCCTATCATTGAAACTACTAGTTAACTATAGCTTTTTTGGGAAGTCACTATGATACCGTTAGTTTAGAAATATACTCTAGGTGTTTCTTCGTGGAAGATCCCTCTTGATCCCTCTCTTTCGCGTCGTCTTTTCTTCGTCCTTCTTTATCGCGTATAAAATATAAAATAGCGTAACGATAAAATAAAATTAAGGGAATAGAAAAAAGAAAAGAAAAATGAAAAGAAAAATAAAAAAAAAGAGAAAAGAAAGAGAAATATCGTAGAGTTTTCCACGAGGAATGCATATTATCAGCGGCTTCAAAGAGACCTATTACAATGTACCTATTACTTAACAAGCTACGTTACATAGTACGTTTATATTACGTTACACGTAATATTATACCTCTCTATAGGATATATACTAAATATATATCGTGCGTATACCCGTTTACACCTTACAAAAAAAACCAACATCCTCGACCACATATATATATGTATATA